GAAACAAGTGTGCAAGACCAAGCCATTGCAAGTGCCCAGTGTGCACGCACACAGCAACACTGCGCTATCCCAGGACTTCCCAGCTCCAATGCGTTTGATCCTCTGCTGCTGAGTGTAACAGCACAAGGCACTGAGTCACCTCTCAGTGCCACAGGGGAATAAGGATTAATTAGTTGATGCTGGCACATTGCTTTGAAGAGAGGTGCTCCACTGCAGCATGAGCCACAGGTTGTTACGTACTGGGCTGAGTCAAAAGCAGCCCTGGCTTCAGATCTGTCATCTCTGGAAGAGCAAGAAAAGGAAACAGAGCAGTGAAGGGGAAAAAAAAATGAACGTTCACACTGGAGCAATGCCAACACTGCTGACAAACCTAGGAAAGAGGCCAGCACAGAGGTTCAGGAGAGCTTTGAGCTGACCAATGCAGACAGTGACAGTGCCTCAGGGCCTGCTGACTCTCGGCAAACACCAGAGGTGTTTCACCAACCCAAGGGCTGCCATAACAGAGCCAGCAGGACAGGAGCAAGGCAGGTCCAGCCCGTGGCATGGCACTGTCACCCTGTCACTGCAGGGTGGCCACACAGTGGGGCCGAAGAGCTTCCATGAGAAGGCAGGAAAGGAAAATATTCCATGCTGCCAGAAAACACGGGAAAGCCTCCTCAGCGTGTTGAATGCTAGTTGGGCTTTTTAGGTCTTTACTGAAGAGCCCCAGCCTCACCCTGCGTGCCTACTGCCCTAGAGAACAGGTGCTTCAGCTTGCCCTGGCATAGCTTGTTGTAGCACTGAGACAGTGGCAGAATCCAAAGGACAGAGCAGCCTCTGTACACTGAGGCCAGGTAACCCAAGGGGAGGCAGCTTCTCTCTCTGTTTTTGTCCTCGCCCCACCTCGGTGCTCCTTCCCGTGAAGCGCAGAGCCCCCGGGGCTCTCGCACCCAGCCCGCAGCCGCACCTGGGCCGCTGGCGAGGAGGCAGCCTGCGTGTATGTAAAACACAGAGCTCCTTCACACACCGCTGACTTCCCTCAGCGAAGCATTGGGCCAGCATTGGGCCGGGGAGGTGGCTCCTCACAGAGCGCCCTGCCACACAGCGAGTGACACGAGGGACGTGAGCACCGGGGCACGTCTCAGCTCCGGCAGAAGGAGCCTGTGGCAAGGAAAGCACGGCCCAGCACAGGCCAGGAGCCCGGGCGACTCGAGGAGTCTGAGCGAGTCACATCATTCCCAAGTCCCCTGCGCCCAACCTCTCTCAGGCTCTGGGTTTTCACAGACAAGATGGCCCCTCTGAGAGCCCACCCGGGGGGGATGCCATCCTGCCCAGCATCGCTGCACCCTATGAATATTTAACAGTCAGGAAGAGATCCGGAGACTTTGACTTGTCCCATTGGCCAATTCAAGGATAACTGAACTGTGCGGGGAATTCAAAGGGTGGGTTTGTTAAGAAAACCCAACGAGGCCACAAGGCCTTCCAAAGAGGGCAGCCCAGTTGCAGGCAGCTGCCCTGCAGCAGAGGCAGGTGGGTGAGCAGCAGCACAAAACACGGCCCATCTCAGGCAAGTCCCACCAAACCCTCCTCCCCCAGAACTCAGGTGAAAATCAAACTCTGCTAATTAGGAAAAAATGGTTTCTTCTGGATGTTTCCACCCGATTCTGGATTTGTGACCCCGAAGCAACGTCAGTTCGCTCTCATCACACCCAGCCAGAGGAGGCAGCTCCTGCTACAGAGGCAGAGCAAGCGAGGCACAGAGAATTTCAATGCATGTGCCCAGGGTCATGCAAGAAATCAACCACAGAGGAGAAACAAGTCCAGCGTTTTTGGCTTCCAGCTCTGGGCTGTGCCAGCTATTGCTTTCTCTTGCATATAAATCACTTTTCCCCACCAGTGAAGGACAGCTGGGCACTGAATGGAAAGTGGCAGTTGTTCGGGGAGGTGGCTCCTCACAGAGCGCCCTGCCAACACAGCGAGTGACACGAGGGACGTGAGCACCGGGGCACGTCTCAGCTCCGGCAGAAGGAGCCTGTGGCAAGGAAAGCACGGCCCAGCACAGGCCAGGAGCCCGGGCGACTCGAGGAGTCTGAGCGAGTCACATCATTCCCAAGTCCCCTGCGCCCAACCTCTCTCAGGCTCTGGGTTTTCACAGACAAGATGGCCCCTCTGAGAGCCCACCCGGGGGGGATGCCATCCTGCCCAGCATCGCTGCACCCTATGAATATTTAACAGTCAGGAAGAGATCCGGAGACTTTGACTTGTCCCATTGGCCAATTCAAGGATAACTGAACTGTGCGGGGAATTCAAAGGGTGGGTTTGTTAAGAAAACCCAACGAGGCCACAAGGCCTTCCAAAGAGGGCAGCCCAGTTGCAGGCAGCTGCCCTGCAGCAGAGGCAGGTGGGTGAGCAGCAGCACAAAACACGGCCCATCTCAGGCAAGTCCCACCAAACCCTCCTCCCCCAGAACTCAGGTGAAAATCAAACTCTGCTAATTAGGAAAAAATGGTTTCTTCTGGATGTTTCCACCCGATTCTGGATTTGTGACCCCGAAGCAACGTCAGTTCGCTCTCATCACACCCAGCCAGAGGAGGCAGCTCCTGCTACAGAGGCAGAGCAAGCGAGGCACAGAGAATTTCAATGCATGTGCCCAGGGTCATGCAAGAAATCAACCACAGAGGAGAAACAAGTCCAGCGTTTTTGGCTTCCAGCTCTGGGCTGTGCCAGCTATTGCTTTCTCTTGCATATAAATCACTTTTCCCCACCAGTGAAGGACAGCTGGGCACTGAATGGAAAGTGGCAGTTGTTCAGCAGCCCACAGCAGCACTGCACACCAGCTCAGGGTGGGAAGTGGAGAACACTCACCACGCAGAGGAGACTGCGAGGGGATCTGCGCCAGTTGAATGGAGACAGCTCCACTGGAATACGGCCAGAGCAAAATCCCAGTGCTCCTGCAAAATCAAGTTAAAAACTCCACAGGAGAAAGCACCTCCCTTGCTTTTGCCAGCAGAGCAGGTATCAGGTGTCCCTTCATGTCCACCACTGCTGTGGACAGTAATCACACCAAAAGCTACTGAGCAGCTCTCACAGCATGACCACCACTGACCTAAGCCAGCCAGCCCCTTTGAACTGCAGGCCTTGGCAAGCAGACATCCCATTTTAACCAGTCCCCAAAGCAAATATTAGAGGTGGCCTTGAGTCTACCACCACTTTCAAAGTTTGGAGGGACAGATAAAATCCCCAAGGCTCAATTTATCTCTGATCTTTGTTCCAGGACAAAAAGATCTTCTACTATAGGCCCTATAACAGTACATGAAGTGTCTCTCTTGTTACTATAAATGAAGCATATGTCTTGTTATGCTTAAAGTTGGTCTGATGTAACTGTTGGTGTGGTAAAGCCAGAAATAAAAGCAAAACAACAAAAAGCTTCCCTTGGAAAATCTGGGCTAAGAGAGAGTTATAATCCCAACAGGTAACACTAACCAAGATGAGAGGTGCTAAAATCTCTCGCAGGAAACACCTTGGTGAGCAGCTTGGCTAGCAGGCTGAGGATACAAAATCATCTTCAAGTGGCTGGACTGAAGGCAAATTCCTGTGGGTCAAACTGCAGTGAAAAAAAGAGACCCTAAAACAGCCTCATTCAGTTCCATTCAAAAAACCCCCACTGCATGTCCAAAGCTTACCCCAGTGCAACTTGTGCAATGCCTTCTATACTAATGAAACTGCTTGTACACTAATTTTGCTGACAGAGCTAACAAAAACCACGTCCACAAAGTGAAAGAGTCAAACCAGCAACGTTCATGAGTATGTTTGCCAGAGAGAGGGATTTCTGCTTGTAAACCTCCACAGGGATGGGGAACTGAGGCAACAGAAAGAGGAGAACAAGTAGCTCCAAAAATATTTCTGTTAGTTTAAATTTCAGCAAGCTTGGCAAGCTCTTTCACAATGTTTAAACACAACAGAACCTGAATCACTAGCCTTAATTCAGCTTCAGGCCTCCCATGCCTCTGATCCTAATCCAAGTACTACTTTCACAAGACCTTTATCAAACATTAGCTCTGGCTACTCCATCCAGATACCCACAGCTGCCTTGCCTTCCTTGGTAGGGGCAGTGTTATGGCCTGTCTAAACTAATAGCTGACAGTTCCTAGAGGTATTTACATAGCTGAAGCTGTAGCTTTAGATGTGTCCCAACTACTTTCAGTTGTAAAGTATGATGGACCTGAGACACAGTGTCATACTCTTAGATACGCTCCACTTCCCCTGCCAGTTCTAGTAAAGACTTTTTCCTAAGAGTAAGAAAAATATTCACCCCTAAGGTGAAGTGAGATGCTGCTCTTAAGGAACGAGATTTTATTCTGTACCAGTGGGGATTCGGCCACCTGTAGGAAGTATAAACAGCATTCTGCTTCTTTGAAAGCATTAGGAAAGAAATACCACATGTGAAATATAGCAATGGAAAAAAACGTTTTTGAAGGTGCAGGAATGGGTAGTAGCACATGTGGGTTGCGACAAAGCATTCTGGGTGAACCAAGGAAAGTTTCGTTTTCACCAGTTAAGAAAGCTCAGCGAAATTACTCTTGAGGCCAAAGGGATTTTACCCAAGTCCAATAGTTACTAGAGACAATTGGAGAGTAACCAAGGAGACAGAAGGGTCTCCTTGCCTTACAGCAGTCATGGAGGACACAAGACTGGCTTGTTTCATGCCACAGCTCTTCTTTCCCTCCCCCAGACTGCACCTGCATATCAAGAGCAAATCGAAACCAGTCTATTCTAAACCATGGTCTAATTTATTTTGAGGGACCCAAACCAAGAGCATGGCTGAGACAGCATAACCACCAGAGAAAACTTGGTTCTCAGCATGATTGCCCCTCGCTGGTGGCCAAGTCCTGCCTAGTACCTTCAGGATCACAAAGCTAGCTGAAAGTAGGACATGCCCATTAAGCTGCCAATCCTTCTTACACAGCCATGAGAGTTTGCACATCTTTCTCCTTTGGGTTTTAGCCAGAGACCAGCCCTTTTGGGCACCATAACACAGCTGAATGCCTTATCTCCTTTTGTTCCAGCTGACAAACATCCTAGCCCTCCCCTGCCAGCAACAATACAACTGGAGCTAGGATGTGTGTCCCCTGAGCAAGGATACAGGCTTTGTGGCTTGCTGAGTTGTCTTTGCAAGGACTGCCAACACTCACAGCTGATGAAGCCTGCAGTGCTGCTTTCTGCTTTTTCCTGCTCACAGACAGATGTCAGAAACAAGCTAAGCAAAACAGCACACACAGCTAGAGCGCTGCACCTAGGAACACTAAAGAAGACTATGGGGGATTAAATAAACTAAACCAGAGAGAAGCTTAACACAGTCTCTCGAGGCTTCATTTCTACCCAGCAAGCAATTCTGGACAAGAAACAACCCAGCATTTCAAGAAACTATGTATTCTGGAAGGTGGCTCAACTCGGTGTGCAGGAAGGATTGTGTTTGGAAAGCTTTTGCCACCACCACGTGGATGAAACCATGACTGCAGCCCACCAACTAACTGGAAGTTCAAATTGTGAGCAAGGACCAGCCTCACTGCCAGGGCAAACTGAGGCAGACGTTTGTAGGTTTTAGAGCCCATGTTACATACCCAAACAAAGAGCATACAACAAATATCATACATTTTATTAACTTAGAACTCCAAAACACACTGACTTGCAGTAAGAATAAGGCATGAATTACTGCTGATAAGAACTTGTTAGTTACAGGATTACACACAGCATAGGCCCAACTTCCAAGAGATAACATGTGTTTTCTGTATGTTGCTGTAGTCCAGTCTGCTGTATTTCATCTTTGGTCAGCCCCAGAAGCTGGGCTGGTAAGGTCATCCTGGACTTGAGTGACTAGGGTTGCTTGTTATCCTGAGCTTGCTAGATGGAGCCGATTTCTTTAAAGATATAAAATAAAGCTAAAGTGCTAGATTATTTTCGTTAGCCCTTCCTCCCCAATTACATATCAGATACAGAAACACTGAGCCCTTCACTGAGCAGATGTTCACACAGCTGGATCATTAGTGGCCAATTGCAGTCTATCCAGAAGCTGCAGGACAGCCTTCCTTCCCCATTTTTCTCTTGGTGGGGAGACAAAACCTGGCTGTGAGGTTTCACTTCAGTCCAAAGTGCTGGATTTCATTTGAAAGGAAGCAGGAGCCTGCTGCCTTTTCTCCAGTACTTTGGGGATGCTGAAATGAAGATACTCAACAGTGGTAGGTGGCATCTGGGATACCAGCCTGTTCTTCTGATACTATCTCAGGAAAACCTATAGCTCCTGGCCACTGACAAAGTGGATGAAACTCAAACCCAATGAAGAAATGGAATTCAGATGGAAACATGGATAGAAATCCCCAATTCAAACCAGCCTCCCCCCCTGCACCTATGTTATCCACTGAACACAAATCCAAGCTTTTCATGAGAGATTACCAACTAGGAACAGCTCTGGATGAGTGGTCATGACGAGTCAGGCAAAAAAAGCTTCCCAGTGTGATTCCAACTGCAGGCAGCTTCAATGCCTGAAGTGAAAAAACTGATGAATGTGGCTGAATTCTCACAATGAGAAGCTAGTAATCAGCAGAGTTCTTCATCAGTAAGCCAAAGGACAAGGCAGAAACTCCTGGTACATGACCAGCACAGATCTCTAGTATTCGGAGAAGTCTCTGAGCAGTGGCAACTCGAACCCCATCCAACTGGAAGCAAAAGGGAGAAACTATTTAATCAGTAGAAAAAGAAGAAAAGCAGTGTTGTGATAAAAGAAAGAACCAGAGCAGGCAGAAAGTGTGGTTCAGGGCAGCCAGCTACAGAAAAATCCCAGAGAGGCCCATTTACTACCTCAGTGCTAGGGAAGTTACTGCATTGTCAGCTGAAAACCCTGAAGGGGTTGCCAAAGGCACAGACATTACCTGCCGGCAGGGAAGCAGCCTCCGAGGGTGGAACAACAAGTTCACGGAAAAGTGAAGTGTGCTACTGCTGAATGCCAAACTCTCCCTCTAGCTTTTCAGACCGAGCAGGTAATTGGAAAGAGGGGCATATCAGATGGCAAAACAGTCTGTGAGGCTACACACACAGCCTGGCTAACAGGAAGCATTACGTGGGCAAGAGAGTCAGGTAGCAAGTAACAGCTTAGGGGCTCCCAGGAAGATAAAATGCCTCAAGGAACAAGTGTACCAAGGCTTTGCATATCAGAGAAGTCTTTGTTAATTTAGACTTGGCTTCCTGAGACTTCGAAGTAGCACAGGAAGGAGCAGGTAATCTAGAAGACTCATTTCAAGGACAGTCAGGCCCCTCTACCTCTACCATTCTTGCAGAGAGTCTGGTCTCTGACAGTTATGCAAGACAGTAGAGTATGTACATACATTTATTGCTAATGTAATGATGTTCCTAAGGATCACAGAGTGGTGGAATTCACCAGTCCCTTCAGGCACCAAATAAGCACCTTACCTCCAACTCACAGAATAGCACAGGACTGCAGTAGGCTTCTCCCAGTTTCCAGATGGCATTCATCTCCACGCTGCAGGAATTCACCCTGCCAACTAGAGAAAAGGTTTTCCCACATTACGAGCCCAATCATCAACATTAGCGAAGAAAAAGTACTGGGAAATTCCACATTCACAAAACAAACCAGAGCTAATTTTGAGAGCACCATAGAAGGTAAGGCAAGAGCAAGCAATACAAACAGAATGGTACAAGATTCCCAACGGAATCAGCACAGAAGTAGTCCATAATACTGACAGCAGGAACAGTATCGCCACATTACCCAGTGCTGCAACAGTAACATTTTGGGTAAGGGACCAGGACGCTATCAGCGGGGGAGGAATCTTCTAGTCATTAATCAGAAGCCCTCCTGGCTCATGTGGTATCAGAGTGCTGTCTCTGAGGACTTCACTCTACCAGGAGAGCCATAGCACAAGATACACCAAGACACTATTCCAGCCCAGAATTTGCCCTCCTGACCCTCAAATTCCAGGGACACAGCACCTCTATTTCAACCCTGAGCAGTAGAGGCTGACCCCTCTATTTCCTCAGAGCTGAAGTAGGGAAGGTCTGGTTGGGGTGGAGTGGCTGGAGAGCTGCCCAGCAGATAGGGACCTGGGGGTGTTGATTGACAGAGAAGGCCAAGAGCATCCCGGCCTGCATCAGAGATAATGTGACCAGCAGGATCACGGAGGTGACCTTGCCCCTCTACTCAGCCTTGGTGAAGCTGCACCTCAAGCACTGCGAGCAGTTTGGGGCACCACAGTATAGGAAGGACATTGAGGTGCTGGAGAGGGTGTAGAAGGGCAACTAGGCTGACTAGTGGTCTGGAGAACAGGCCTTATAAAGAGAGGCTGAGGGAGCTGGGACTGTTCAGCCTTGGGAAGAGGAGGCTGAGGGGAGACCTCATTGCTCTCTACAAGTGCCTGAAAGGAGGATGTAGGGAGGTGAGTGTTGGCCTCTTCTCCCTAGTGACTAGCAATAGGACAAGAGGAAATGGGGCCAAGTTGCACCAGGGGAGGTTCAGATTGGCTATCAGGAAAAATTTCTTCACAGAAAGAGTGGCGAGGCGTTGGGACAGGCTGCCTGGGGAGGTGGTGGAGGCACCATCTCTGGAGGTGTTAAAAAAATGGGTGGACGTGATGTTTTGGGAGATAGCTTAGCAGTTAAGTGTTGTAGGGACAACAGCTGGACTTGATCTTGAAGGTCTTTTCCAGCCTTGATGTTTCTATGAAGTACCCTCCTCCACTTTTAGGGTAGGTGGAGGGAGGTGTGGAGAGGCAGGGAGAAAGATGAAAGGCCCACTGGAGCCAGATAGCACACAGCAGGGATACCAATCTGCTACTACAACTATACTTACTAGTTTAGTAGCTCATCCATTTAGATTCATTTTATTACCACAGCATCATGTGCTCCTCACTGCTCATTAAGAGTATCATTAAGAGAGATCTGCAAAAGCAGATAGAACAGACTTCTGCAGTGCCACAGGAAAAAAAAAAAAAAAATCATAATCAGGGATTAAGGACAGAGAAGAGAGGTCTGGCTGACATACACAAAAAAAAGACAAAGCAAGTGAACATGAGAGACAAGAACTGTGTTTTATGCAAGAAAATTTTTAAAGGAAGATGAGTTCAGATATAATTTAAACAAAGCTTTTGACAAAACCACTGGTTCCCTTTCTTTTGTTTCAAGTTCAGTCACTGCCCTGTTTCAAGGAAAGCAACAGCAAGTTGGGCTGCTTGGAGAGGAGGAAGAGGGCAGATGTCATACATACCTCCGGTGACAAGAAAGTAAACTTTCCCCAGGAAGAAGCTGGCATCCACATAAGCTAGGGAATCTTCAACATTCTTTAAGCTGTCAGAAAAGCACAGACAATCCAGTTGGACGGGGAGGTAAAAACCAGGGCAGCATAAGGACAAAGGGAAAAACTTTCAGAGTAACTTTCAGAAGCACAATTAGAAAACTAATGACGTTAACATCTGCTGATCTGTGAGCCAGCAGAATTATGCTCTATGATCAAAGCACGGCAGTAGAGACCTCTTTAATACCCACAGCTGTTCAATAATCCATAACATATCCTTTCTACCCAAGACTCAACAGTTAGACTTAGTTTGAACAGTGTCCTCTGTGATTTGCAGACACTAAGCATCTGAATTCATTAACATCCAACAAGACTTCAGCACTACTTCGACTCTTTCAGAAGAGCTAGCCCACACATTTCTGCAGCACCATCTGTGCTGTAAGTATGCAGCTGGGCCTGTCATTTTTGGTAAATGAGAGCCCAGGATCATCAGTCACAAGTGAAGTAATAAAATGCTGACTTTTGTGCCTTAGCAAGTCTTTACTTATGGTCTGGGGACACAAATATCATTTCTACAAAGATGAGCACAAGATGAGAGAAAAGGGATCAATCCCTGCAGACCTTTCTCTTGCCTACAGACACCCATAGTGCTGATCCCACTGGACCAGCAGTATCAATGGACTGGAGATACAGAAGCAGCAACTGGCTGGTTATTAGGCAGCACTGCCATCAGCCACGGAGCATCAGCCATCTGCACAGTACAGAACTTAACAGCACCACCACTGTTTCCATCTCATTTTACAGAAAGCGTCTTTCCAAAGCTCAGTTCATACCATCCCATGCCTGTATCCAGGAATAAATTCTGCCTTCCCTGCTATGGCAGCTTAGTGCAAAGCAGGCATGTTATTGGACAGAGCAGTCCAGTACCAACCCATTGCTGGAGGCCAGAAAACCACTGTATGTGTTACTGAGCTCTCACACCACAGCAAGTCTTGGATTTGAAATCTACTATTCAGCAACTCTGACTCAGTAAAACTGTAGATTTAGCCATCAATCCAAAGCAGGATATCAGTTTCCCCTCTCATTTTTGCCCTTCTTTTACCTGTACTTGCTCTTAATGTCAATCATAAACACAAGCAGATCAATCCTGGGCCGAAGGTGATCCCTCTCCGAAGGTAGGGGGAGGGATGTAGCCAGGTGACTGAAAGATAATAAAATTACCAGTTTAAACAAAGAGCTTGACAAGGCAGTATCCACTTAATCATAAGCACATAATCATTGCAGTTTACCATGTAGCAAGTTACCAGGAAACCTGCTAATTACTAAATACGTGGGCACTGAAGAAACACTGTGATTCTTTATGTGGTATTCTCATCTGTTAAGCCTACTCACAGTTGCTGACAGCCCCAATGATACTTGCTAGACAAGGTTGTTTATAATGGGAAGCTTATTAAGAGCATAATAAGGCTCTCAGGAACATGTTCTCTGCACAGATCTGCACGACAGTAATTTTATTTAATTGTTAAGAAGAGGGTTTTTTTTCCACCAAAGTGAATCCTAGTGCTTTACTGGTATATTTCGCTGCCAGGTTTCAATTAAAATGTGTTAGTGCTTTCCTGTAACATTCCAGAGACACTACTCAGGTGCTCACACAGAAGAGGCTGCCTTCTCAGGTGTTTGTGTTAGAGAAAGGTGTGTTGTATTCACGAAACCTTGAACCAAAAAAGCATCACTAGTGTAGCTTTATAGATGAAATAACTCAGAAAGAGCTTCTACTAAATCATTACCCCCTTTTTATCACTTTCACTGGGGTGGGACTTCCTAGGTTAGCTTAGGTGTCCTTCTATGCAATACTACCACTGCTGATACAGCTGTTGGAAGAAGAATTACAGAGAGGGGATTTTTTTTGTGTCTCTTCCCACTACAAAAATAAAAACAAAAGGCTTCAGTAGTGCTTATCTGGGCATTCCTCAGGGGAGAATATTATCAGCACCATATTTTTGGAAGATCACCTGAAAGACAGACTGGACAAACAAAAATCTCAAGAGTTTCAGTGTCAGTCCCAATCCACCCCCTCTCTGGAAGCCAAGAGAGAAACACTGATTTTTGTCTCCTTGAGCAATATTACTTCTAGCATTTGAATCTTAAGGACTTCACAGTTTTTCCCAGAAGCCACAGACCACAGCACACATTCCTTCCTATTAGTCATACACAGTTTGTAGCTTTGCCTGCCAGTCTCCCAATAAAGGTGTTTTGCTTCCTATAAATAAGGAAGTTATGATTTAACAAAAGCATTCTGAAACACAACATATCAGCAAAGTGTGCTTGAAGGAGACACTGCAACACAAACAAGCTTATACACTTAGGGTGAAATTTAGGAAGAAGTTGTGGTGAAAGGAAAGCATCAGATACCAATTTCTGGGAAAACAAACACCCCCAAAAAATCTCCATGATTTGGAATTCTACTATATTTAAACCAACAGCACCAGAGGATGCCAGCTATGCACTGCAGAAGCTCCTAGTGGAAAAAGGCACAAAAACCCAGCTCTTCAATTCTTCCAGATGCTGTATCTGGCAGGTAAACTTGTCAGACTAGATACCATTCTTGTTTGTAATGTGGATAATCCCAAAGAAACATAGTGAGGGGAAAAAAACAATGTCACAAACTGCTGCTTCTCTAGTGATACCAGTGCAGGGACTTATCTTGCTCTGTAGTAGAACATAAGTTTCAATGCCTTTGGGTAGTTACCCAGCTATAGTACCAGTAGGCATCTGGTGTTGCTATGAAGGCTCAGAGCTGAGCTCTCCATGTCTTGCAGGGCAGAGGGTCCTCTGAACTGAAACCACCAAGACCCGGCCATCCCAGCAAGGCATCTGACCTCTCAGCTGCTCCAACAGCCACCACCCCTCACTCCCCGTGCTGCTCCGAGGCCTGCAGTCTCACTGTGAGAGGAAACCATTGCTCTCCAGCTGTCCTAGTGAGGTGTTTGACCATTCCAACAGTTGCCATCATTCTGGACACTGAGGGCCTTGAGCACCAGGTGGCATCATCTCTGCTACAAGGACAGGCTGAGAGAGTTGGGGCTATTCAGCCTGAAAAGAAAGATTCCAGGGAGACCTTATAGCAGCCTTCCAGTACCTGAAAGGGCCTATAGGAAAGCTGGGGAGGGGCTTTTCACCAGAGGGGACAGTGATAGGACAAGGGTAATGGTTTTAAACTGGAAGAGGGGAGATTTAAGTTATATATAAGGAAGAAATTCTTCATCATGTGGGTAGTAAGGCACTAGAATAGGTTGCCCAAGAACGTTACAGATGCTCCCTTCCCTGGAGGCGTTCAAGGCCAGGTTGGATGAGTTCTTGTGCAGCCTGGTCTAGTGTGAGGTGTCCCTGCTCATGGCAGGAAGGTTGGAACCTGATGATCTTTAAGGTCCCTTCCAACTTTAACTATTCTGTGATTCTTCTATCTAGTGATGGCACTCCACAGTTCAGCAGAGGCTGCAGGATTTTCCCTGAAAACTGGGTAATTAATTTACTATTAATTAGCACAAACATCCAAGATGCCATGATCAAAGCAGTACAGTCATCTCACTGACTAGTAGAACATTAGCTTGGATTTGCCTTTAGTCCATAGTCTCAGATTACAGCAGCAAAATAACACAAAAAAACTTCTGAAGAGCTGACTAAACCCATTTCATCTTGGCAAGAGAGCTGTCAAGGACATTATACCATAAAAACTGTTAATCAAGTTTTTAAGACAGGTCTTGTCATGCAACTAAAGCTAAAATTCCAAAAGCATCTCAATAGCTTGAGAAGGAAAAGCACACACATGCATAAAAGCCAGAAAACAGCTATGAAGAGCACCAAAAGAAACAGACATCTTTCAGGAAAACCTGCTTGCTTTCAGGCATTGTACTTGTCCCCATTTGACCCAGGATGTTTAATTCCTGCACACATCTCTCTCAAGATAAGGGGAAAAAAAAAAAAAAAAAAAATCTGTGCTCCTCGCTCACCCTTGCAATTAATGTATCAAACACCTGCACAACAGGCAAAGGGCAATGTTTTGTGCACAGTGCACACGGTGAATGCGAGAATTATTTCCACCTCCGTTTCTAATCACGCCCAAACTGCCTGCCCTGAAGGCAGAGCAGCGTCCCTCCCGCAGATGCCGCCACATCTGAGCAGCAGGGCGCTCCAGCGCTCACAAGAGCAAGTTCTTCCTCAGCAGGGAACGCCCTGCAGTTCCAGCTACGGCCATCTGAGCAGAAGCGGCGTTTATGAGATTTCGGTGCGGGCGTTTCCGGAGCAGAAACTTCAGTGAATTCGCATCACAGCCGCTCTCTTTGCTCCATCCCGTGGAGCTTTGGCTCCATCTCTTGGAGGAGGCAGCAGAGGGACCCTGCACGATGCCCTGCACCTCGAGCACTGTGTTCAGCTTTGGGTGCCTCACTACAGAAAGAACATGGAGCTAATAGAGGTGTCCAGAGATGGGCAACGAAGCTGATGAAGGGCTTGGAGCACAAGTCTTACCAGAAGTGGCTGAGGGAGCCGGGGTTGTTCAGCCGAGAGAAAAGGAGGCTGAGGGGAGACCCTATTGCTCTCTACCTGAAAGGAGGATGTAAAGAGGTGGCGATTGGCCTGTTCAATGAAGTTACAGGTGATAGAACGAGAGGTAATGGCCTCAAGGTGCACCAAGGGAGGTTTCGGTTGGATGTCAGGAAGAATTTGCTCCCCAGAAGGGTTATCAGGCATCGGAACAGGCCATCCCGGGAGGTGTTTAAGAGTCGTATAGACATAGTACTGAGGGACATGGCTTAGCTAAGGGCTTGTCAGGGTCAGAGTCGGACGCCGCAGGCAGCGCAGCCCCTCCCCACCCACTCACATGCTGATCTTGAAGCTCTTCTTCTCTCGGAGCATCTCCTGCGCCAGCTTCTGCTGCAGCTCCTCGTCCGTGCCCACCAGCTGAGCCCACAGGAGGGAAGAGCAGGGTCAGACGCGACCTCGGGGGGCACAGCCCGGCCGGGGGGATGGGCCGGGCCGGGGGCCGCTCCCCGACACCGCAGCGGGGGGCCTGGCGGCCTCACCTGCCCGTGGCAGCCCG